CTGACAGGATATAAAAAAAACGAGAGCAATTTCCCCCCTCCTCCCACAACAAAAAACAACCAAACAACAACAACAACAACAACAGCAACAACAACAAACAAACAAACAACCACCAGAATATGTGAAAAATGCATAATATAGTAAGGCTCCGTCTCTCTCTCTCTCTCTCTCTCTCTCTCTGTCTGTCTGTCTGTCTGTCTGTCTCTCTCTCTCTCTCTCTCTCTCTCTCTCTCTCTCTCTCTCTCTCTCTTTTAAACTCCCAGTGGAGCATAGGCCATCAACAACATTTCTCCAGCGAAGACTGTCCTGTGCATCCTTTTCTAGCTGTTTCCATGATGTCCCTGCCTTTTCCATTTCCGCTTGTACCGCTCACCTCCTTGTCATATTTGGGCTTCCTTTCTTACATTTTTCTTGTGGTTTCCAGGTCAAAGCCTGTCTGATGATGCTTGTCGGGGTCTCCTAGGGTGTGCCCAATCCATTTCCATTTCTTCACCTGTATGTCTTCAGTAAGGCTCCGTGCATACTGGTAAATTTTCACTCGTCACACGGCTTCGAGTACGAAAATGAGGCAATTTTTTACCGTTCGTCTCTTTTCGTCACCAACTATGGAAATTGTCCTAAAGTGCACTAGGCCTAACGGTATTCTTTTTGACGGCATTCCAAGTTAGTTAGGTCTTCCCACTACGTAAGTCTAGTGTGCGAGAACCCCACGGCGCGCACGCCGTGATAACTGACATGGCGTTATAGTTTTGAGGTTGTCGTGTGATTTCTAAACATTCCTGCTTCCTACCTACCAATTAATTTCCAACAGCCGTGAATCTTACATTTACATATCTCAAGATTCAGCCGTTATTTACAAAGTCTTTCTTCCTAACTCTCACCCAATTTGCCATTCCCTCAACCATTCTCTGAAACCAACCCCCCCCCCCCCCCCTCTCTCTCTCTTTGCCTCTCTCACCAGTGAGTTAAAGTTACCTATGGGGCACAATGCTATTATACACGAAGACTGAGAGTAATCATGTGATCTGTGTCTACGTTCCTTGAACCACTGCTTAAAGTATATGCCACACAAATGAGCGAAAGTGAGTATTGAACATATTTCATGCTCAAAGACTCTTTGGTCTACCTGATAGATATAAGTGCACTTGGATCGTGAATGCTCGTGCCTCAAAAGATTGTAAACGGATAAGTATGAACGTGCACACCATGACTCCCCCCCTCCCCCCACACACACCAGGGCAATGCTGCGGTCTGAAGTGTTTCTAGGCCATTCCCATAGGGGGGATATTAACATGTTCTTATGCACAGTAGAATTTTAAATGGGCTAATTTATCAATGTCAGGCTCATACTGTGCCCGAACAATATAGGGGGAACTGCTGCTTTTCCTTTCCTCATCCTTACTATTGTCACTTTTCCTCTACTTCTTTTGTATGTTTGTCACTCTCTTGTAAACTGCTATTTCTGGGGTGCCTTGATAGTCGAAGCAGACTTTGTGCTGTTGAGGCTAAAGAGGTGCACAGAGTAAGCCTGATTGCCCGTTTGGACTTCTCTGTTGACATCCACCCCTTGGTGCTCATATGACCTTGTGTAGTTGTGAACGCCGTAAAACCTTACTAAAACTAAACTAAAACTACCAAATTACCTGCTGGCCTTTGAAAATCTCCCAATGACTTGCCTGTGGTAATGAGGTAGGGGCTTGAACGTCGCATGCAAAAGAGTCGAGTTTGTTTCTAATGGGAGGGG